TTATATATACGTTTTGTGTAATAAAAAATATTTAAAAAAAAGAAATTCTAGAAAACGTATTTAAGAATTACGGTTTCAAGTTGATTAATTATATTAATTAAGCTAATTAAGGAAGACGTGTTCAATGAATACGTTTTCGTTTGAATAATTATATAAACCGTATTTCAGGAATTCGGTTTTTAAATATTTTTTGTAGAAAACGTATTCCTTGAATACGTACTTTTTACTTTTGTCCACTCTATTTTTTTTTGTCCACTTATTTATTGTTTTTTTTTTGTTGGTAAAAAATTCTAAAGGGATCTCAAATGCAATATTCACATGGGGAGAATATAATTCCATTTTCTATTAAGTAAATTCGTTAAGTCGCTCGGATGACTGTTCATTTTTTATTTAAAATTCCTAACCCCATAAATATTCTAATTTACATAGTAAAATTATTTTAAATTTTCATACCAATATAAATTTTCTAACTTATTATGAACATATATTATTGACGTATAAAATGTTAAAGAAAAAATGTAATAATTGAGTTTGGAAAAAAATTGTTAATTTATATATGTAGGAAGTTTGACAACGGAGATATTCTATTTTCAATATGTTACCAAGCACTAGTATAATCATGTGGTCGTGCAAAATTACCAAAAATAAATAAATATTATATATGAAAATTGATATTGTCATATATGTAAACCAATAAACATTCTAAGTATGTGGAGCTCGACCGGAGTAGAGATCGAGCTCCCTGGAGTCGAGGATCACCAATTTAGTTGGACAACCTCACCCTCGGGCGGCATATAGGTGAACGACCTATAGGCTATGGCGACGACCTAATCTTTAAGCGACCTACGGACCCCTAATGAAATTGTCAGACGACCTGAACAACTAAAAAGCCTAAGTAACTCGACCTCAACCATCAGAAGACGATATGTGAAGAGCTTGTTGGTGTATATACTGAAAGTTTGGCTTTGAATAATATTTACACTTTATGTTGAATGAGAATCATGTTTAATTAAACAAGTTCTATGTTCTGTTGTTTTGCACTTAGATAAAATAGTTTGTCACAGATGTACAAAAGATCATTTTATCAGTCTCTTGCGAAAAAATAATGATTGGTTCACAACCTATTTGAAAAATGAACAAACCATCGGAACGGTTGTAGTGTCAACCGTATTGTTGATCTTGACTGATTAGTTGCACTAGTATATTTATGTATTGAATATGATCTCAGAGAGGAACATTTCGTTTTATATTAATCGTCGTAAACAAATTAGGACTCAGTTAATTATTGCGTTATCTTAACCCGTAAAATATAAACATGCATGTTCATGCAGTAGCTATTGCTTTGATTCACTAAAAGTGAGATTCATTCCGTTGGATCAATATTCTTGATGTTTTGAGTAATAGTGTTGCATGTACGATGTACTGTTAGAATATTTACGGCCACCATGTTCGTTAGTTTGATGATGTCCTCGAAGTGAGCTTATGAAGGATTATATTTTATTATGTTAAACTGTGCAGGTGGATTAAGATTCGACATAATAATAATGTGATGAGTGGTACTAGCTTCAGTTTACAAGATATAAATTAATTCAAGATCATTAGTAATCGAAATAATTAATGAACATTATATCTTAAACATGGGGAGGTAATTCGAGTAAATATTATTGGAGTCTCAAATATAATACAGAGATTATAAGGGAGTTCAATAATGTCTACGATAGTGGACCGAGACATTATTTAAGTAATTGGCAAGAGTTGATTTGGCTCACACTTAGGCCCAATACTTAAGGAGCCCAAGTCATCACCTCCTTAAGATCTCTACTGTAGCTCTATAAATACATCATTGAGCTCAGGAGATTGAACAAAACACAACCCCACACGTCTTACATGACTCGGTCGCCCCTCTCTCTAGTTTCCATAGTCGAGCTTTGTCTTTATTTTGTTGCTCCACCAATACAAAGAGAAGAGGTATTCTAGTAATACAGTAGAAGATCCCGAGGTACCGAGACCCCGAGATCATCGTCGCCGACGAGCCCCACGACAACCGTGCCCGACGCCGTCGACCACCACACGCAAGCCGCAGCAACCAACCGCAACCCGTACGACGTCGTCGATCACCACAGCGAATATATGCAGTCGTGCGACACCTTCGCGCGCTCCGGAGATCCACTGCGTGTGATCACCATCCGTCAGCCGCAACCCCGATGCAGCCATCTCCCAACAATCCGTCCATGCTGCACCCAACAACCACCGTCTGCGACGTGCTGCACCCGGTGACGCTCTTGACGAGCTTCTCGAAGTCCAATGAGAAGAAATCCGGCAGCCCAACAGATTCCGAGTAAAGACAATCTCTAATAGCGAAAATCTACAACATCTAAGAGTCTGCAATTTTAAGTCGTAAGTCCGCGTAGGTTTATTGTTGTTATTAATCCGTGAGTTGTACATAGTTAGATCCTTACCGATCCCAACATTAGGTTGGGTTAGCTACTCCACTATCTGCCTTGATCTTGCTTCAATTGCTAAGATATCATTTGCCTGTAATCATTTGATTATTTGTACTTCTCTTTTTTAGTGTTATAAAAGTTGCTGGTTTATAGGAGAAAAAAAAATGTAGTTTATTTTAATCTTCTGAAACGGAAATGGTCAGTTAATTTTGCATACATTTTTCATATGTCTCAACTTTGAAATTTAAGAGGTCAAACATGGTTAAATAAAAAAGTTTTATAATGCCTTTGGTACTGATGATGTATACGTTAAATTTAATTCAAAATATTCTTCACAGGCCTTATTTTTGCCACAACTTGATTTCATGGGTTATTTTTGCCAGGCCTGTATTTCATAGGTTGTCCTGAGAATGATGGGGTATAGTCGTATAGAGTGTGGTGTCAACAAATTTTTGAAAAACTCATTTGTAATTTTCAATGACAAAAACAAAAAACTTGCATGGTTGCATTTCTAATTGTGAATCACATGTTTAATTTTCTTTAAATGTTGGTCATTGATATTAAATGATTCAAGTCGTGGACGTTGGTTTAGATGGAGAATCAAGGAGCATAAATCGAAAGAAGAAAGATACCACGTTAATAAAGAGGGAGAGTCTATGTGTGAGAGCTATTAGAATTATCTTATAGGCGTAAGAGCGATTGCCTCTTGTGTAACTGCATAGAGAATTTCTCTTCAGTGTCAAACTTATTTGAGCGTCAGAGATCTCAAGTCGAGAACTCTGCCTATGTATTTTTGGTGGTAACAGACTCGATTCTGGGACAAGATGCGGAAAATCAAATTTAATTATCTTTTATTTGAGTATGTAGGAGATTAGTGTTTGTTGTTTGATTGGGCCGCTCGTGAACATTCTCTGTTCGTGCCATTGGTCGTCGTTCTCTAAAAGACAAAGTATATTTTAACAACTAATTTTGAGTAATGGACTAATGTTGTCGAACGATTTTGATTTAGAATGTACAAGCCATGATATGACACCCAAAATCAGAACCAAGTCCAAGAAAAGGAAAGCATAAGGAAAGCAAGACATCATAAATGTCCTAGGTATATGAGTAAGGATTATTTGGCCTCAACAATGTTATTGTCGCTCAAATCCAAGACCCCCATATACTTAACTGTCTTAATAGACTTGGGAACTTCACCTGTCAATTTGTTAGACGATAAATCCAGCACTAGAAAATAATTGTCGACGCTAAAACTATCGGGCAAATTCCCCTGTAGCGAATTCCGGCTTAAATTCACGTAACTCAAACCCCTGTTCCCAAACAGACTAGCCGGAATCTCGCCCGTCAGCTGGTTGGAGAAAAGGTTGAGAACCGACAAAACCGGCATCGACCCGATTTCTTCAGGAATCGAACCGGATATCTGGTTCATGGAAATATCCAAATCGGCCAACCTGGACAGAGCCCCAATTGATTTCGGAATCGAGCCGGCGAGCAGGTTCCCTCTCATCATCGCCCGGCTCAGCATACTCATCTTCCCCATCTCCGACGGGATTTCGCCGGAGATCCCATTGTTGCTGATGTCGAGGAGCTTCAGGCTGCTGAGCTCCACGATTGATGGAGGAATACAGCCTGAGATCTGGTTATCGGCGAGATCCAGCACGACGAGCTGGCTCAGCTTCCCGATGCCCGCCGGGATCTCGCCGGTGATCCCGTTCCCCGAGAGGTCGAGGATCCGGAGGCGCGAGAGGGAGGAGATGCAGGGCGGGATCTCGCCGGAGATCGAGGGCCAGTAGTCGGTGACGATGAGTGTGGTGAGCTGGTCGAGCAGGCAGATTGAGTCGGAGATCAGCCCGGCCCATCCTCTGCCAGCGAAGTGGAGCTTCGAGTTTAGGAGAGAGCTGCCGGAGCCCTCGCCGGCGCGGAGGACGATGTCTGTGATTCGGAGGGTGTCTGGGTCGCAGAGGATGCCCGGCATCTCGCAGACCTTAGTGCCAACCCACGCGGCGGAGATGGAGCTGCCCAGGGACTCCCGGAGAGCCGTTACAGCTGCAAGGTCGCTGGAAGCTGTGACGAAACCTCTCGGAGGAGTAATGAGCAGCAAGATGCTGGTAATTAGCAGCGGTAGCGTCATCAGATTCATTGTGTAAGTTCAAGTGAGTGTATCAGAGTTTGAGTGTGTGTATAAATGGGAGTGGGAAGGAATCTATGCAATTAAAGCGCTCATGAGTTGTAGAGAGAAATGTAGGGTGGCGCTATGGACGGCGGAGGGGAGGACTGAAGCATGTGCAGCGGCTTTTAGTATATTAATTGCGAGACAAGATTTCGATTAATTGTTATTATTTTCAAAGGAGATTATTGGATGAGTGACTCATTGGTTTTATTGTTCTCTGATCTTAATGTTGGGCTGCAAGTGTTGATATATAAATATATGTAGAATTTGAATCACATGCTAATCCCACATGTATGGTGAATATATGCATGTGTGTGCACAAAATGCGTGATGACTGATGAACATATTTCATAATATTATATTATTATATCTTCATGTTGTAGCTTTTATGGCTGCATGCTGCATGCTGTAGATAAACCCAGTCTAGCCTGCATTTAATATTTTAAAATGCTTTCGAAAAGGGTCAAATAATTTAGAGGTTGAAAAGCTGTGGTTGTGAATAAACGACATGCTACGGGACTTTTTGTACACGAGGATTAATGCTACGGTCTCGTTAAGGAATCATTTTGTCGGAGTTTGTAATCGTTAGACTAACTATCGTCGACAGTTACATGATGATCTAACGGTTACAAACTCCGACGGAATGGTTCCGTAATGGGGCCATAGCATCCCCTAGTTTTTAAGCAGTAATACCACTACAAAATAAAAGAAGCAATGAGAACTAAATGGTCATGTAGCTTATAAAATTATAAAGATTAAATCCATGATTGATATCTTCCTTATTTTCTTCTACAATTAGTTACCATAATATATTTTACATTTTATTTTCTTATTTAATTTATACATCAATTATTATAAATGTTTCTTCTTCCTCTTATATTTAATATTTTATAATTTATTTGTTTGTATTTATATGATATATGAAATTAACTATCTTTTAACGATATTGATTTTCCCGAGTGTCACCTTATTACCCTGTTGGGGTCCGACCCTCGGGTATTACCTTGTTGGGGTCTTTGTGTTGTGTTTTTTGTGTTTTTATTACCCTTTTGGGGTCGTGGTCGAGTAGTTGGTCTATTTAGTTTGAGTTTTATTCTAGCGT